TTCGATGCGGCATCCCCAGCGCTGCTGCTTTTCGGCGGCTTCGATGCCTCCTACCTGCGTGAGTTGTGGAGATACGTGATGTCGGCTAAGGCCTCGGTGCCTGTCCTGCGCTGCCAGCTTGGGCAGCCTTGCTCGCTGGATGAGAAGCTCATGGTGAAGCAGGCCTGCCAGGACCCCGGCGGCTTTTCTGGAGGCCAGGGACTCGCTGGGACACGCTTGTTTGTGGAGCCGGGCACCTATGACTTGTGCGGTTGTGATGGCCAGAACTGCAGTGAGCCAACAGATTTCGGGGCAGCCCGTGGCCATTTCATCGCAGAAGGGCCATACACCAATCAGTCTGCCAGCTGCTACATTGGTCTCATGTGCACAGTGCCTGCTTGGAAAGGTGTCGGCGTCTCCAGCAACGACAGCCTGATTGTCCGAAAGGACTGCCGCTCCATGCAGGTATCCGTGTACAGCGGCATTTTCGAAAACCCCCGCCTGACAAAACCCTTCATGTTCAGATTGTCCTGGAGGGCACTGAACGTGTAGTCGGAGTGCCGTGGTGTGGAACTCGTCTTCGGAACGGCAAAGGTGGCCATAAGGGCACCAGCAAAGCTTGCTCCCCAGGCCCGATGATTCCCAGCTCCAAGGACAAGGCGCAGGAGTCATTGAGGTGAATGCGGGTGTGGTGCCTTTTTTGCGGGGTCCCTTCAAGGGGATGCTCTTCTATTTGGGGTTTAAAAAAGGGGTACCCCCTATTTTCGTAAACCCCAAACCCCTAAACCCTAAAGGCCCTAAACCCTAAACCCTAAACCCTAAACCCTAAACCCTAAACCCTAAACCCTAAACCCTAAACCCTAAACCCTAAACCCTAAACCCTAAACCCTAAACCCTAAACCCTAAACCCTAAACCCTAAACCCCCAGGTCTGCCCGGCGGACAGCTACTGCCCGGGCGGCCAGGTGCTGCAGAGCTGCCCCACGGGCAGCATGGCCTCAAACGGCTCCAGTCAGCTACTCAGTACAAGATCTTCCGAAGACACCAGGCGCCTATAATCATAAACATACATAATAGCTATAACATATATATATAATATAAATATGTGTATATATATACAAATACGTATAACAATTATGTACATGTATATATATATATATATATGCTATACATATATAATATACATACATACAATACCATACCATACCATACCATACCATACCATACCATACCATACCATACATACACACACATACATATACACATATATATAGACAAAATGCACATATACATATATATATATATATATATATTAAACAAAACCGATACTGCGCAGAAGCCTTGTACATCGTCCCTTGAAGCTCAAAGCCATATCAGCTTGGTCTGAGAGTGAAAGATGTTGATTGGAAGAATGATTCCCAAATTTCAAGTGGAGTGCTGGTTCATGGCTGTTCTGTATGCAAGGGCTTGGTGTCTTCGGGTACTACTTCTGCCCAGGTCAGCTGTCCGACTGCAAGTGCCTTCCAGGACGCTATCGGAGTGCCCAGGGCACGAGTTGCCTCTCATGCCCGTATGGCTCCACAACGCTGGAGGCAGGTGCCACCTCTGTGACCTCGTGCATTTGCCTGCCAGACTTCGTGAACATGGACGCTGAAAATCCTTCAGCCTGCGAGTGTGGGCCAGGTTTTGGCTTCGATGTGCAGCGGGGGGTCTGTGCGCCATGCCCGAAGGGGGCCTACAAAGAGGTGGCTGGGAGCATTTTGTGTTCCAGCTGCCCGGTTGACCAGTCTACTGTGCAGGAAGGTTCTACGTCGCCCCAGGACTGCTTCTGCCAGCCGGGCTTGATCATTGATGGCGAGACTTGCATCACTTGCCCAGCGGGGTCCTACTGCAACGGCACAAATGTGGCCTATGCATGCCAGCAGGGTGCCAACTCTCTGCCTGGAGCGAGGACTTTCGATGAGTGCATCTGCAAGCCTGGCCATTACATGGACAGTGACGGCTTGAGTTGCAGGCTTTGCCCACGGGGCAGGTATAAACAGTCGGACGGGAATGATCGAATTTGCGACATGCAATGCCCCACAAGTGCCGACAGCGGCAACGGATCAGCCAGCTTGTCTGCTTCTAGGAGCAATTCAGCCGGTGTAAGCGTGTTTGTTGCCTGTGGCCATGGAAAAGAATGAAACCCTAAACCCTAAACCCTAAACCCTAAACCCTAAACCCTAAACCCTAAACCCTAAACCCTAAACCCTAAACCCTAAACCCTAAACCCTAAACCCCCAGGATTGCTTCTGTGACCCGGGCTTCTACGCCGAGCTCGATTCGGCTGGCAACCTCGCCCGCTGCGCCAACTGCGCGCCGTTCACGGCCCTTCGTTGCCTGGGAGGCTTTCTTGTCCTATGAATCGGGGGTTTAGGGTTTAGGGTTTAGGGTTCGGGGTTTTACGGTCTTAGGGGTACCTTATTGGGGTCCTTTTGTAAGAAAAGCCTACTATTTGGGGGTTTCTAGGGGGTTTTACGATA